CAAAAAGAAGCGCCAGATGCAATTAAGGACTCTGAGATGGCAGGCTTTTTCTGGAGGACACAGGTGACTTGATATTATTGAGAGACTCTTTACCTTGGATTTTAAAAAGCCTTTAGTACAATAATGAAACTCACCTCATACAGGTCCGGTGAGTATCAAACAAGTTTTTGTTTTTCCCCACAGCGAGGGACCCTGCTAGCACAGTGGCCGTGAGTGCTCAGCTGCTAACTACAGGGTGGTGTTCTGAACACATCAACAGCTTGGAGGAAGAGAAAAGTGTGGCAGTCGGCTTCCATAAATATTTACAGCCTTGGAAACCCCATGGAGAAATCTACTCTGTCCTATAAAGTGACTACACCCATTGGGCTGTTAACCCGCAAGGCCAGCAGTTCAAAACCGCAAGGCCAGCAGTTCAAAACCACTTCCCGCTCTGTGAGAGAAAGACCAGGCTTTCTATTCCATTAAAGAGTTAAGAGTCTTGGAAACCCACTAGGGCAGCTCTCCCCTGTTCTATAGGGTCGGCGAGAGTCTGATTGGATGGCGGTGGGTTTCAGAAAGAACTGGAAAAGGACGTCGTGATTTGTAAAGGGTCAACAAAAAAGAGGAAGACCCCCCCACCCCCTCCAGGAGATGGATTGACAAAATGCCTCCAACAATGGGCTCAACCAACAATGGCCCAGGACTGGCCATGTTTCCTCCAGTGGGTTGGAGCTGACTCACCAGCACCTTGAAGAGGGTCTTTGACACACAGTAAGTTTATCTAAGTGCTAGCACCTTATTCAACACGTCTATAACTTCTCTCACCTATTAGGTAATATGAGCAATGGTAAGAGACTTGGACACACTGAGATGTACACTCTGAGCTGGGGGGGTGGGACAGGGGTGGTGGTGGTGGGGGATCCTTATCCATCCAAGTGAAGCACCAGAGACAGTATCTAAAGCTGAGGGAGGGCTGAATAACAGATCTTTGAAAGAAAGGAGCTGGGCTCCTCATCTTTTATAGGGAAAGGGGTGGGGAACCGATAGTCCATGGAACAAACGGCCCAAGACAAGGAGTAAGCACATTATTTGGACATAGATATGTCAGTGAGAGGGAGGGAGGGAGAGGGGGAGGGAGAGGGAGAAGGAGAGAGAGAGAGAGACAGACAGAGACAGAGACACACTATAGGATGGAGCAAGAGGGGTCCTGAAAACAAACCATCAAAGAGGGTGACTCTGTGTAAGCCAGTGAGAACGAGGGAGGGAGACACACACACACACACACACACACTATAGGATGGAGCAAAAGACTCTGAATTGTTAAAATCATGTACAATAGGTTACCCTTCACACCTGAATTAAAATAAACACATGGCTTTGGGTCTTCACTTTTCTCCAGGGAGACTCCCAAGGGGCGGCGACGAGAGTGCCCAGGGCCGTTCACAGCAGCCAAATGGCACACTTTACATTTCGGGGATGCGCGCTAAGACCACCATCACGTGATGCAAGGAGCTCTCCATCCAAGGGCAGTTACACAGATGCAGGTACTGATGACCCACTCCGGTGCCCTGTTTCCAAGCATCTGGGCACCACAGCCACCCACCCAGTGCGACTCATTTACTGAATGCTTGTCATGGGCCGGTTCCTACCACGGGCAGGAGCGGAACAGAGGCAAGCCAGCCTGGGCTGCTCCAAGCCCGTCATCCCCCTCCGTGGTTTAACACAGCTCCTACTGGTCCCGACGCTAACCGAGGGCAGCAAAAGACGAGAGTGAGCATTAGAATTAAGAATGAAGGGTCTGAGGAGCCACTGTCGATCGCCGATTGCTGAGGAGGACGAGCCACCGAGTCCTGCCCCAGAGAGGGAGCCCGACGCTGCCGGGCCGACACCGCCCCCTCAACTCCCAGGCGGTCCGAGTTTCATCCCCCGCGTCCAGACGCGACACTCACCCCATTGGGAAGGTTCTTCACGATCAGTCGTGACATGGCGCGCGGTGAGTCCTCTTCGGAATCTGACACAACTTGACAGCGGCTTCCACCAACCACACTCACGCTCTCGCGGTGGGCGCCGCCATCTTGGACAACCCGGAAGGAAGTCAGCAGCCCCGCCCCCGCCAGGCACGACGGGAAGTAGGCGTGGCCAAACCAGGAAGTCACCGGCCGGAGCGCTCTCGTTCCGCGCAGGCGCAGACCCTTTGGCTGGCCACCTAGGCGGCGGCGATCGGTAGAGGGCGCCACTTACTGATATGGGCGCGTGGGATTGCGCGCCGCTGACACGTGTGTCCCAGCATTGCCTGGCCAGCGACCCCTTACTCTATTTTACTATTACGGTAAGTCCTCAGACAGCCCCAAGAGTTGGGGACTCCGGCTTCCCATCCCAGTTAGAGATGGGGAAACTGACGCTCAGAGGCCATTCACCAAGAATTCCGGGAGTGACAGTGAGCATGGCCAACTATCACAATGCATTGAATGTAAACACCCCTTTTGAACTAGATCCTGGCCAACTTTCCCTCTTGTGAGCTGTTTTGTGTTCTTCGATTAGCACGATCAGGATGATCTAAAACCTACTGGTGGCACAGTGGCTAAAACCCTGGGGTGCAAAGGGAGAGGTCAGCCCTCTGACCCCGCCCACAGAAA